CCCCAAGAGTGTGGCCCTGGGGGTGGGGTGGGGGGCAGCTGCTTGCTGAGCTTCCGGCCCACAGACTGAGGGGGAATCCAGTGGCTGATCAGAGAGGGACTGCAGGGATCTCTTTGCCAGTGCTGAGGCAGGAATCTTCTGCTTTGCCCGTGTGTGTGGATCTGGGTCACGGAACGTTGGTGTGGTAGAGCTTGGAGTGGCTGTGGAGAGGAACCCTTCCTCACAGTTACAGGACAGAAAGGAATACTTGTGGTCACAGGCCAGGAAAGGAGTAAACACCTCGCCCCTTATCATACCACCTTAGAAGAACTGAAAATTTACAGGTCCCTACAAGTATCTCTGAAAACAGCTGTACAAACCCCCCCGAAGCTTGGGACAGTACATTCTCCACATTGGAAGCAGACTCTTACCTTAACAAAGAATTTAAAACTCAAGTAATTGGCCGGGATCATGAGCAAGCAGCGCAAAAAGAGTCAAACCATAGAATCTTACTTTGGTGAAAAAGAAGATCAAAATATACAACCAGAAGAAGACAACAAAATCAAAGCTCCTACATCCAAAGCCTCCAAGAAAAATATGAATCAGTCCCAGGCCTTGGAAGAGCTCAAAAGGGATTTTGAGAAGCAAGCAAGGGAAGTAGAGGAAAAACTGAGAGTGATGCAAGAAAATCACGAAAAACAAGTCAACAGCTTGCTAAAGGAGACCCAAAAAAATACTGAAGAAAATAACACCTTAAAAAATAGCCTAACCCAAATGGCAAAAGAGGTACAAAAAGCCAATGAGGAGAAGAATGCCCTAAAAAAGAAAAATTGGCCAAAGAAAAGGAAGTCCAAAAGACTACTGAAGAAAATACTTCCTTAAAAATTAGAATAGAGCAATTGGAAATAGTGACTTTATGAGAAATCAAGACACAGTAAAACAAATCCAAAAGAATGAAAAATTAGAAAACAATGTGAAATATCTCATTGGAAAAACAACTGACCTGGAAAATAGATCCAGGAGAGAAATTTAAAAATTATTGGACTATCTGAAAGCCATGATCAAAAAAAGAGCCTAGACATCATCTTTCAAGAAATTATCAAGGAAAACTGCCCTGATAATAGAACCAGAGGGCAAAATAGAAATTGAAGAATCCACAGATCTCCTCCTGAAAGAGATCCCCAAAGGAAAACTCCTAGGAATATTGTAGCCAAATTCCAGATTCCCAGGTCAAGGAGAAAATATTACAAGCTGCCAAAGAAACAATTCAAGTACTGTGGAAACACAATCAGGATAACACAAGATTTAGCAGCTTCTACATTAAAGGACCGCAGGGCATGGAATATAATATTCTGGAGGGCAAAGGAGATAGGATTACAACCAAGAATCACCTACCCAGCAAAACTGAGTATAATCCTTCAGGGGAAAAAATGGTCATTCAGTGAAATAGAGGACTTTCAAGCATTCTTGATGAAAAGACCAGAGCTGAATAGAAAATTTGACTTTCAAATACAGGACTCAAGTGGAACATGAAGAGGTAAACAGGAAAGAGAAATCATAAGAGACTTATTAAGATTGAACTGTTTACATTCCTGCATGGAAAGATGATATTTATAACTCATGAGACCTTTGTCAGTATTAGGGTAGTTGAAGGAAAAAATTGTATAGTATAGATATATAGATAGATAGATAGATAGATAGATAGATAGATAGATAGATAGATAGAGGGCACAGGGTGAGTTGAAGATTAAGGGGTCATATCTGGAGAATAAAATTAAGGGATGAGAGAGGATTATACTTGGAGAAGAAGAAAGGGAGAGGTAGAATGGGGTAAACTATCTCACAAAAAAAAAACAGAAAAGAAAAGTCTCTTACAGTGGAGGGAAATGGGAAGGTGAGAGAGAATGAGTGAATCTTATTCTCATAGGATTTGGCTTAAGGAGGGAATAACAACACATTCAATTGGGTATGGAAATCTGTCTTACCCTACAGGAAAATAGGAGAAGGGGACAAGAAGCAGGGGGATGATAGAGAGGAGGGCAGATTGGGAAAGGAAGTAATCAGAAGTAAATACTTTTGAGGAGGGACAGGGTCAAAAGAAAGAATAGAACAAATGGGAGGCCAGGATAGGATTAAGGGAAATAGAGTTAGTTTTTCACAACATGTCTACTATGGACGTGTTTTGCATAACTGCACATGTACAACCCATATTGAGTTGCTTGCCTTTTCAATGAGGGTGGGTGGGGAGGGAGGAAGAGAGAAAATTTGAAACCTAAAGTTTTAAAAACATATGTTTAAAAAAAAAAAATGTTTTCACATGCTACTGGGAAATAAGAAATACAGGAAATGGGTACAGAAGTCTATCCTGCCCTACAGGAAAATAGAAGGGGAAGGGGATAAGAGAAGGGGAGAGAGATAGAAGAGAGGACAGACTAGGGGAAGAGATATTCAGAATGCATGCCATTTTAGGGTGGGAGGAAGGGGGGAGATGGGGTATAAATTTGGAATTCAAAAACTTGTGGGAGTGAATGTTGAAAGCTAAAAATAAATAAATTTATATATTAAAAAAAAAAACAATATTATGTTCCATCACATTCATTTATAGTTTTTTCAACTATTCTTCATATCAACCAGATTATATTTTCAAGTACTGTTTTGATCATTGATTAGTTACCAAGCACTTATAAAGCAGCTACTATGGCAGTTATGCTAGGGATACAGACCAAAAAGGAAAAGACATTGTCCCCCTCAAGGAGATTACTCTATCTCAGCATATAATACATTCACATATATTCAAAATAGATACAAAATTACCCCCAAGGAAATTTGGGGGGCGGGAGAGGCATTAACAACTCAAGGCAATCAGGAAAGGCCTCGTGTAGAGGCTTGAGTTGAGCTTCAAAACAAAGGAGATATTCTAAGAGGCAGAAGTGAGGAAGGACTGTATACCAGGGAAAGATAGGATGTTTTGTGTGAGGAAAACCAAGGAAGTTGGGCTGGCCAGTAAATTACACAAAGGGGAAAAATGGGTAATAAGTCTGCAAAGGTAGGTTGAAACCAGGTTGTAATGCTAGGGAAAGTTCATGTTAAAACACTCCTAGAAGCAACAGGTAACTACGGGAGTTTATTGAACAGAGGAATGACAGGCAAATACATACTTTAGAAATATTCCTTTGGCAAGAAGTACTAGAAAGGGAAGAGATCTGAGCCAGGAAGACCAATTATTGTACATGACTAGATGAGTGGCAAGATATGATATACAATAAAGATTTATTAAGTACCACTATGTACCAATCACTATACTAAGTGCTAGGAATCCAAATACAAGCATGATGGTCCCAGCGTTCAAGAAGCATACATTCTTATTGGGGAGGACAACACATGGAAGGGTGCTAGAGAAGGGAAAGGGGTCCATGCGAGGCAGCGTGGTTTGGAAATGACCAGAGTGATGGGGAGGCCTGGTTCCAGGGAAGATAAGGTGGAATGCAAGTGTCCAGGCAGTCAATTAGATTACTACAACAGAGAAGGTGAGAATTGAACTAGGGTGCTTGTGGTTTGGGTGAAAAGAAGGGGAAGGATAAGAGATGTTGTGGAGGTAGAGATGACAAGGCTTGGCAACTGATTTTGGTGAGAGAGGAACAAGAGTGAAAGAGAGTAAGTAGTAGGGAATGTTGCAAAAGTTAGAAGAGATGGTGGTATCCTCAGTGGAAAACAAGGGAGTCTGAAAGAGGGGCAGGTTTTAAGAGAAAGATAAAGTTCTTTCATACATGTTGAATTTGGAAATCCTAAGGGTCATTCAGTTCAAAATTTCCACTCAGCAGCTGGTGATACAGTGGATCATATACTTTCAGATGAGAAGCCTTCAAATGCCAGCAGAAGTCCAAATACGTTTAGCCAGGTATTTGCAGACTGCTCTAACCTGGATCCAAACTATCTTTCCAGTCTTAATTCCCACTACTTCCCTGCATTAACTTTATGTGGTAGCCAAACAATGTAGCTTGTGTTTTCCTACTTTTTTTCATTCTATTCTTTTTCACTGCCCTCCATCTGTATCAAAATCCTCATGGTCTAGTTTCTGTGTGGAATCTTTCAAGACTGTCCCAGCTGGAAGAGATCTCTCCCTTTAAGAACTCCAAAAGCACATTACTCATAGTGTTTATCACATAGCACTTTGTAATTGTTCAACTGAGCTATGTGATATAGGGAAAAAAGTTAGAAATGGGCGCAAGAAAGAGAACGGAATAGAATGTGGAACTGAAATCCCAGAGGGCACAGCAGAAGGGCAGAGCAAAGGGAAATCTTGGGAAGACAGGTGTGGGGATAAGGTGAAAGGGTATCTGGGTATGAAGGGAAGAAATGGCTTTTGGTAGGAAGCAGGGTAAATAACTAGAAAGGTGAAGAAGAGGGTCCTACAGGTATGGAACATTGCATGTAAGATTTTTTTTCAATGTATTGAGAAATTTTGCTGAATTTTTTTTCTTCCTCTTTTTTTTAGTGAGGCAGTTGGGGTTAAGTGACTTGCCCAGGTCACACAGTTAGTAAATGTCAAGTATCTGAGGCCAGATTTGAACTCAGGTCCTCCTGACTCCAGGGCTGGTGCTCTATCCACTGCACCACCTAGCTGCCCCTCTTTTTTTGTTTTTAAAGAACTGTTATAAGGTATGACTGAAAGGAAAAACGTGAAAGGATATGGAAAAATCTAGGCAATGTAAAGACAAAAAAGATAAATAAAAATTTATTTTTAAAAAATGAATTTTGGTTTTAAAATTGAGCAGAAACTATGGAACCAATTTAATTCAACAAACATTTAAGCACCTATTATGTGAAGAATACTATGTTGGTGCCCCAGAAGATACAAAAGTTAGGCAGTACATGTTTTATCTAAATGAGATATTTGTAAAACCCTCTGCACAGTGCCTGGTATGAAGTAGGTATTTAATACACACTTATTCCTTTCCCTCTCCCTTCCCTACCCTAAGAGAATTTACAATCCAGTAGAAATAATTAAATGAGACAGCAAATTGTTTCAACACAGGACTTTATAGCTGACTCTAGTTAACTATATTAATAAGACCCTGAAAGCAAGATTATCCTCAATAAGCAAAAGGAAATTTAACTTTATACAGATAACAATGGAAACAATGACAACAAAATAGTTTAAAGCTGATTCAATTCACAAACTTACCACAACTCAGCATTTTATAGGGCTTATTCTATATCAAAAGTGACATGGGAAGATTGTTCAGAATTACTAAAGAGATAAGTCATCTCACAGTGCTTTATGTTTTTTGCAAATGTTGGTACAATTCACATCTAAATGTGATGCAGAACTTAGGTTGTATTTAAAACAGTTCAATTTTTCAGCCACGTGCTGTATGGACTCTGGTGCTAGGAATCTGGAAGAGACTGGCTGTGAGTACCATTTCTTGTCTTCAACTGTGATTGAGCAATGTCTGCAAGAGCACTCTGTATTTTTTCTAAAAGCATATCTCCTCTGTAAACAACATCTTCAAGACACGTAGCAGCCTCATGATTTTCCTCTTCCAGCTTACACAAGCTTGCAGCCTTAGTGGAGGGGGGGAAGCAAATAAATGCTTTTAGAATGAAAAGGGGGGAAAAAACTTTGGTAATTAATGAAGGTTAAAAGTGAAGAACTCAGCAATAAATTGATATACTTTTAAATCTGGGTGGCTTTCCATACAATGAAGTTCAGACTTGGGGGAAAAGCAAAATTAGTCAGTATCTTATACACTGAACCAACTCTGCCATGTAGCTTTTCAAAAACTAGGAACCTCTGAAAGCAAATATGAGCTATCTACTGGTGATTCCCCTACTCATAATTTTTAAATGTTAATAGAATACCATATTCAGGTTTCTACCCTACTCACACCTTTAATTAGGAGAAAATAACTCATATTTACATAATTCTTCCAGGTTTTCAAAGCATTTTCCTCACAACAAGCCTATGAAATAGATATATTATCCTCATTTTAAGGCTGAGGATATTAAGGGCGAGAAAGGGCAAGTGCCTTGCTATGATCAGGGAGCTAGCAGATGTTTTAGTATTTGAGACAGTATGCAAATCCAGATCGCCTATCTGTTAAGAAAGTTAACAAAAATGGAGGTTATCTTAAAAACCAGGAAAGGGCTGTCATATCCAGCACACTGAGGTTTGCCCTCAAGTGCAGAATCCAGGTCTACTCTCATATGCTAGGTGTTAAATATTACATCAAAAATACATTAATCTGTCTTATTGAGAAATTTTCTGTTGTTAAGCAATCACTTCTTAAATGGGGGAAAGAGGATGGGGAGGGAGGGGGGAAGGAAGGAACCTTACCTGCAAAGCAGCTGTAGATTCTTCACTAGGTAATGAATCTATCAAAACATCTATATCCTTTGCTGTTCGTGCAATTAATGCTGCAAAGAGCTGGGCATATTCTATAGAAAAAAATTTAACTCTATTAGGAAATTACAGAATACCTGAAGCTCTCAGAAACCAAACACATTTTAAGTTAATTAACCTGAGGTTCCTAATTCTTAAAACTTAATTTTAATGTGCAAATCCTACTGAGGTTATATTAACTGAAATTTATATTTATTGCTATTATCTGCTATTAATTAACCTGGGAATTAAAGGCAAATCTAACACAAGTAGTGTCCAGAATAAGTTATCATGTACAGATCTAATTAACATTAAAATCTTTTGATACTATATATATATGAATAATGAAAAATCACTCTCTTCAAGGAAGCAAAATAGGTTTCACATTGAAAAGGCAATGGAGAGGCAAATATCATGGTAGAAATAAAAAAAAGTGGAGCATATTACCAAATATAAATTGCATACAAAATTCAGGGCAGAAGAGATTAAAAAAAAAAATCTGTCCGACCAGAAAGAGAAATGGGTCAGTCAAGTATCAAAAATGAGAGATAATAAATGGACCATCCAAATGCCACCCAGGTACACAAATAATATGACAAGAACCACAAGAAGACGGCCAGTATGTTAGATGCAGATAGAGGACTAAGGGAAAACATGGAGAAGTCACACAGGAGAAAGCACAGAGGGGCTACAATCTTCAGCACTGGAGCACTTCAGCACAATTATATTTGCTATGAAATATAATTAACAGGATTACTTGACATGTTCAGCTACTCTAATAAGGAAACTCAACTTTTATTATATCCAGAACTAGGTCACTTCAAAAAACTCTCAGGTTTGTTTGAAGAAAACACAAAGCACTCATTAAAACAGAGAGAAAACCCTCCTTCAATGGCAAAGGGTGGATGGGGGGGTCATTGATATGGAATACTGTGTACAATGTGAGACATGGTCAGTGTTGGTTAGTTTTACTCACTACTTTTCCCTCCTCTTTTTAATCTCTGTTATGGGGTAGGGCTTCCAGGGTAAGGATATCTTGGAAAAAAATGTGATATAAAAACCAAAAGATATTCAATAAAAACTTTAAAAATTTTAAAATAAAACAGATGGAAACAGCTTATGGATTGTAACACTAGATTTCACCAAATTTAAAAGTCCTTCCCTCTACCACTTCTGGTCCATTCTCCCAGAAGAGTAGAGGTGTCATTCACAAGACTAAGCATTAAAGTATAACCTGATATCAGGTTTCTGATCCACTATATGAATCAGAACAAGTATACTTCCCTCATCTAGATGAAATGGGAATAACAATAATCCACCTAACAAGATTAATTTATAGCTAGTTAGGTCAATCGGTTAAAATATGGTACCAACCATGGTCTCAATGCTTTTTGGCTTCACTGTGATTCACAGCTACAGGCTACACCCTTCACTAGAGCTACTGTTACTAAAATGCATGCTCAGGCTTGACTGAGTGTGTAGAGAAGCACAAATCCATTACCTTTACTGGGAACAGTTAACAGCATCTGCCTACCTAACAGTGGATCAGCAATGTTGTATAAAAGGACAGCTTATTTCACAAGACTGATGTATTATAATAACCCATTACAAATAAACCTAAATAGCTTCACACATTTTATGTGAATAAAAAGACAATATATTTTGATCTTGTGAGCAAATGTATATAACTAAATACCTTACTAAAAAAGTTTAAGTTAAATTAAAACATATAAAGAACCTACCTTCTGTAGGATTTGCTGGTTGATCTTTGTTGATTGCTGTCTGAATATTGTTGAAAGAAGCAGGAGGACCGCATTGCTGCAACACTCCAATGGCATTACAAAACTGATCTGCAAGCTTGAAACAGATTAGCAAAAGATTAGGGACTCAGGGTTGTTACTTTTGGAAAGTTTAGGGATATTAGATGCAACACTTTTTTAGTGACGGTCCCTGGATAAAGCACTGTAATTACTGATACTTTTCAAAAGAGATTCTGAATAAAATAAATCAGATGAACTTAACTGGCAGTATTTTACTTACATAAAAATGTTATACAGGTGAAGAATCATACAAAATAGTTCAAAACAATTACATAAAAAGACACTTTCTTCTGTATGAAAGCACTACAATCATAACTAAGATGAATACCAATATGGTTATGAGCTATAATGTCAAGAAAGAATACTACTACTACTAACAACTCACAGTTCTATAGTTTTATAGTTCAAAGTGACCATTATCCTCCATTTTAAAGACAAGGAAACAGAGTTAAATGACTTGTCCCAGGTTATCAAACAAGTTCAATGTCAGAGCCAGAACTCAAGGAACTCCAATTTCAGAACTCGAAGACTCTTTCCAAGTCAAACTCTCTTCCTCTAAAATGACCGTTTCTCTCAACACTTCTTATGGCAACCCTAAGTTTAAAATCTTACTATCTTTAGGCAAACACCTATTAACAGACCTGGAGTTACGTAGAAGAGGTTTCATGTACGTTGCATCCAAGCAGCTTTATTTATTCAGAGCTTAGGACAGGCACAACAGTAAAAAGGTAGAGGGGAAAAAAATCATGAGAACTCACCCAGGTACCTAGAAATATGTTGTTCACAGACTGTTCTTGATTCTCTGGGCTTCTTAGACAGTGTCAAAGTGACAACTGTTCTCTGCCATCCCTAGGCTGATGACTCTTAACTTTTTTCCAGCCCTTACCTCTCAACCTAGCTTCTATTTCCAACTGCCTACCAGATGTTTCAAAGGAGGTATTTCATCATCTAAACTCAGCAAAAGCCCAAATCGTCTTTCCACATGAAAATGACTCCCCTTTCTGACATTCCTGTGTCTATGGTACCATTAACACCTCCAGTTATCCATCAAGCTCTAAATCTAAGGGTCGTATCACAGAATTCAAGAGGTGGAAGGCACCTATGGACGTCAGAGGGTCATCTAGACTAACCACCACAGTATTAGCAAATGGTCATTCAGCTTCCACTTGAAGGTCTCTAGTAATGAGGACCTCGATATTTCCCAAGGCACCTCAATTCAGTTCTAGTCTCTGCATGATCCTGGTGATCCTCAAATTTTTCAATGTCCTTCTGAAAAAGTACAAGTGAATATAAATTTTCAGATGTGGTGTAACCAGAATATAGTACAACACAACTTGTTTTTCTTGAGTCATTTTGGTTGTTCTCTACTCTTCATAATCCCATTTTGGGGTTTTCTTGGCAAAGACACCAGAGTGGTTTGCCATTTTCTTCTCTAGCTCATTTTACAATTGAGGAAACTGAGGCAAAGAGGGTTAAGTGACTGCCCAGGGTCACACAGCTAGTAAGCACCAGAGGCCAGATTTGAACTCAGGAAGATGAGTCTTTCTGACTCCAGGCCAGGCACTCTAGCCACTGTACCACCTAGCTGCCCACAACAGAACTACCACTCTTTTTCTAGATGATATGCTTGTACTTACTAACTGTGAGACCTTAGGCAAATCACTTATTCTCATCGGTGAGTTGGTTGGACTAGATGACCTCTAATGTCCCCTTCAGCTCTAAATTGATTAATTAAGTCAAAGATCATTTTAGTTTTTGGTTGCCCTGTCATTGTTGATTCATATTTGAGCGTGTAACAGCCTCTAACGTCTGGATCTACTTTTATAACCTTATGATTCTCTTCTTTTATTGTTAAGAAGTAATATTAATTTTTCCTCCAAAATATCTCATATCTGTCCCTTATTTTCCATTCCCACTACCTAATCATCTGCTCACTTATACATTACGGCAATAGATTTGTAACGTCTCTGGTCTCACAATCCTTCAGTATATTAGCGGCATTTAATTTTTTAAAAACACTGCTTTCATTATGTCATCATTCTGCTCAAAATCTTTCAGTAGTTTCCTATCATCCTCGAAATAAAATTCAAATATATTAGATGGGCTTTCAAAACTCTCAAAATAATCTCTCCCCTACCCAATATTAATCCCTAAACTACATCCTCTGATTCATTTAGACTCCATGAACCCTTTCTACATTTCTTAAGCAAGCAAGTCTCTACTTTCTCAAACCCACAGGACTGGAGCAGCATTCATGTTGGCTTTTAATCGTATACTGTTTTGAACTGTTATTTTAAAAAATGTATATATGTTTGTCCCAACTAAACTCTAAGCTCTTTGACGGAAAGAATTGTATCTTGCAGAACTTAGAAGGACTGTGTATACACTATAGACTCATTATCTGTCAAATTAATAACTTCCACTTTCACCTCAATTTCCACAAGTTCCTTCCTTTTCTACACATAAAATTACCTGAAAATAAGGTCAATTTTGCAGCGCCATCTTCAGTTTAATCCTGGCTGAACAATCATACTGCAATGATCAAGAACTTAAGCTTCTTCATCCTGCTTGTCACACTTGTCAGCAAGCCCAATTAACTGGCAATTAGGTGGCTCAGTTGACAACAGCTCTAGACTTGGACTCAGGAAAACCTGAATTCAAATCAGTCATTTAAGAGGAAGACACAACATCTCAGCCTCAATATTAGTCATCTCTAAAACAGAGATAAGGGAAAGGAAGGGAATAAGCATTTACATAGGATCTACATCGTGCCAGGCACTGTGCTAAGAACTTTTTTTGCAAATATTACTTCATTTTAACCTCACAACTCTGTGAGATAGGTGTTATTATTATTCTCATTTTACAACTGAAGAAACTGAGGCAAAACAGAGCAAAGTGGGCAAATCAGAGACACAGCTAGTTAAGAGAGGCCCTAGGAGTCTTCCTGATGTCAGTCCCAGCCTCTACCCACCATCACAAGCTGCCCTTGACAATAATAACCACTTTAACAGTTTCCGTGAAAAACAACTAAGAAAACACACATAAGGCTTATTCACAAATAAAGTTATTTAACTCTGGGTCACCAATACATCTAACTCTTTTGGACCAACAGAGATAAGACATCACATAAAGCATACTCGTAACCTTAAACAAAGGTAATTGCTACTTTTAGTGTTAAAAAAAAAAAGACCCGAATCCAAATTCGGTTTCAGATACTTCCAAGTTGTATGTGCCCAGGCAGGTCACTTAACCTGTCTGCCTTAGTTTCCTTAACTGTAAAATAGGGATTATACTAGCACCTATCTCCCAGAGTTGTTGTTGGTATTAAATGAACAGCAACTTTGCACAGTGCCTCGAACACAGTAGTCTCTTGTTTTGTTTTTTGTTTTAGGCAATTGGGGTTAAGTGACTTGCCCAGGGTCACACAGCTAGTAAGTGTCCAAGTGCTTGGTCTGAGGCCGCATTTGAACTCAGGTACTCCTGACTTTCAGGGCTGGTGCCCTATCCACTGCGCCACCTAGCTGCCCCCCACAGTAGTCTCTTAATAAACGTTTATTATTATCAGGATGCCAGGCCCATAGAACGTGCTTAACAAATGTTTATTGATCGTTGATTAACATCCGCAGGGTGCCTAGCATACAGAAGGAACTTAATGTTTACTATTAATAGCTGAAAGCAGCACAGGGCCTGGCACATAAGAGGTGCTTAATGTTTACTGATTAACATCTGTAAAGTGCTCAGCCCATACTGGGCGCTTAATGTTTATTTTTATCTGGTAGGCGCTTCACAGCGCGTGGAAAACAGCTGGCGCTTAATACGTGTTGACTGATTCACATTCGTAATGCGGTCAGCCCAGGGGCTGGCCCATAATGGCCTCGTTCCTCTACTGTGGCGCAGGCGGCTGGTTTGGCTGTGTTCGCATACCTGGGGCCCTCTTTGGGAGCCGAGGGTAGAAAACAAAATCCTCCTCGGGAGAAGTCCAAGCCCAGGCCCTGCCATTCCCCAGGCTCCGGCCGAGGGCCAGCCGCACTAGCCACCCTCCCCCGGACCGCGGACCGCCAGGATATCGCGCAGCATTCTCCTCCCGTGCGCCTTCCCCTCCCCCCCGGCGTAAGGAAGGATGCTCGGGTCAGACCCAGCCGCGCTGAGGGGGAAGGGGGGAAGGGAGAGGGGAGGGGAGTCGACGCCGGCCGACGCCGCGGCCCCTCCCCCCTGCCCCGCAGCCTGGGTCAGCCCACCCGAGGATTTCGGCCTTGCGGCGGCATCGGCATCACCATCTCCCTCACCGCATCACCTCAGCCTCTGCCGCTGCGGGAGGTAAAAGAAAACGCCAAGACCCCAGCGTCCCATTACCCTCCTAGCAATGGAAGAGGCGGCGACCCCAGCGCCATTTCCTCACCGAGTTGACGGCGTCCTGAAGCTGAGTGAGACGATCCGCCATGTTGCCAGCGCAGACGCCAATGCCGCAGCCCTTCCTATAGCCCGCTCCCGCCTGATTGGACGGCGCGGGTGACCAATCGCGCGACCGCTCTACGGAAAGGGGGCGGGGCCCTTGCCCCGCGGAGAGCCAGTTTATTGTGGTTCAGTCATTTCGGTCGCGTCCTGCTCATCGTGACTCCTTTTGGGATTTTCTTAGCAAAAATGCTAGAGTGGCTTGCCATTTTCTTCACCAGCTCATTTTACAGTTGAGGAAAGGGAAGCTAATTGGATTGAGTGACTTGCCCGGGGTTGCACAGCTAGTGTCTAAGGTCAGATTTGAGCTCAGGAAGATGAGTCTTCCCCGACTCCAGGGCCAGCACTCTTATCTCCCCGCCACCTACCTAGTTCAGTGAATTATTCTTCCCCTTTTTTTGGAGTGTAAGCTGCTTGAGGGCAGGGACTGTCTTTGCACAGCGCTTAGCACTTAGAAAGTGCTTAATACATGCATTATCTAGCATTATTTTGGACGTAGGATCCTAGTTGTAGAGCAGGAAAGGGTTCTTGGGTTATCTAGTTACAGCCCTCCCCCGCTTCCGCCTTACAGAGAAAGAAACTAAGGGTAGATGCTTTGCGTAGGTTCACACAGGTGGTTAACCAACCAAGTCAGCATTGAAACCTAGTTCTTCCCGCTTGCAATGCGCCTATGTTGACCTTTCTACTGCACGTGGCCACATTTCTGTTGCAAACCCTGCCGGGGCACTGGGTAGCTGTGACGGTGTCATCAGTGTTTAGTGCGGCTTCTCCCGAAATCCTGGCATTTATGTGTCTGTTGGGTCCCGTTTTCTGTTGCACAATTTTGAATGCATAGATATATACAAAAATTAGTCATTGAAAATGAGTGGGTCAGCCATTTCTTTGTAAAGGTGAGGAGTTCTTAAGCTGAAGACTGGGACTGGTTTTTTGCCAATCTTTTTTTTAATCTCTGGAGTTTAATAAATATTTGTTGATTGATTATGGATGTGGAATGCTGTAAACTGTACATGGCACATAGCAGTCATAGTGAAAACAACGAACAACAACGTTTATGTAGGCTTACTGTGTTCTAGGCACTTCAGGGGCCAAAAAACAGGGTCAAACACAGGGTCCCTGCTCCTAAGAAGTTCACATGCCAATGTGGAGAGGGAACAATAAGAAAAATAATCAAGTAAATGTAGAAAACAAAAACGTGAAGTGGATACACCGTTTTGCAGATTTTTTCCCCTCTTATTACTTATTTCAAGGAATGGCTCCCTTTGGAGGGTAAAGGTTTTTAGACAAAAATATTAAATGCTCAGTGACAAAAACAAGAAATGAACCTGAATATGCCAGTTTCAGAAAGAGACTTCAGAAAAGCCTTTAATGAGGACCAGATTCACAAATGAATTCTTCCAGCCTTTCAAAGAACAAGCAATCCCTACGTTACGTAGACTTTTTACAAATATAGATAATGTGCTACTCAGTTCCTTCTATGAGGCAAATGTGGTTTTGATGCCTAAACCTGGAAAAAAGGAAATTGTAAGCTAATACTGTCTGGGCCTTAATACCATTGGGGATATAGTAAGTAAAATACTGCAAATAGGATACAGCAATTTACCAAAATACTTAGGAAAACAATCATAATGAACCCTAAGAGATTATTCCTCTCTCCAAAAATAGGAGTAATGGTCTCTTTGCAGAATCACAGAATCTGAGAACTGGAAGGAATCCTATCAACCATCAATCCAATCCTTAAACAAAAGGAATCCCCACTGTTAAGAGTGGACAACCCATCTCTGCTTAAAGACCTCACAGGAGAGGGAACCCATCTCCTCTTTTTATTGACATCAAGCTTAAATTTGCAACATCTCCCCTTTACTCCTGCTTCTCCCTTCTAGGGCCAAACAGAACTAGTTGTTCTCCTGGCTCCACAAAAGAGCTGAGCACAGCTATCAGGTTACCCTTGAGTCTTCTCTTCTCCAGGCTAATCATGCCCAGTTCCATATGACATGTATCCAAGGCCTTTAACCATTCTGGGTCCTCCTTGGGAAATGGTCTGCAACATCTGGCGAAGATATACTTCTCTCCACTCAGCCACCAACTTGGTTCAAACTCTCACTGAAATATCGAAGTGGACTCAGTTGGTCTCCCCACACAGCTGCCAAAGTGATTTCCCTAAAGCACAGGTCTGACCATGTCACCTTTCTACCTAATAAATACCAGTTGTTCTCCGTTGCTTCTAGCATCAAATACAAACTGGAATTTCAAGTTCTTCACAGCAAGGCCCTGTCTTACCTCTCCAGTCTTCTTACTACTGCACTCCACACACACCACAATCCAACCGTGCTGGCTTTGATCCTACAGTCCTTCTTGCTGTTCTTCACTCATAACACTCCCATCTCTGTCTCTATGCCTTTGCACTGGCTGTCCTCCACACCTGGAATGCTCTCCCTCTTCAGCTCTAACTCTTGGAACCCCTGGTTCCCTTCCAAATGCAACTGGAAGGGGCAGCTAGGTGGTGCAGTGGATAGAGCACTGACCCTGGAGTCAGGATAGACCTGAGTTCAAATGCGGCCTCAGACACTTGACACTTACTAGCTGTGTGACCATGGGCAAGTCACTTAGCCTGCAAAAATGCAACTGGAACATCACCTTCTTGTGTAGGGTCTTTCCTAGCTCCCCAAGGGGCTAATACCTTCTCCAATGTTACTCTGTATCTGTTTTTATATACTCGTGTTCAGGTTGACTGTTAGAATGTAAGCTCCTTGAGGGTAGAGGTTTTTTGTCTTTGTATCCCTAATTCCTATTACACAGTAGGTGCTTATTAAATATTTGTTGATTGTTTGATGCAAACCCTGGGAAGACAACAGACTTCTTTATTGTCTTTATCGAGTCTATCAACAGGTACTTTAGTTTCAGAAAGAGAATCACCAACTACTAATACTCTTTGTAATACTTTTTTCATTGGAATGGGGGGGGGGGAAGCACTGACTCCAAAAAGTTGGAAACCTAGAAACTAACCTCAGTCCTGTTATTTACTATCTGACCTTGGGTAACACACTTAATCTCTGCTGTGTGTGAGGACTGTGCCCTCATTTTAAGATTAGGGATAATAATATCTTCTCCACCTAAATAATATGGTTGTAATGAGGATGAAATGACTGTGTATCTGAAAGAACTTTGTAAACCATCAAGCCTTAGATGAGAAGAGCCTAACATTTTTTATCTGTTTCATGGATCCCTTTGGCAGTCTGGTGAAACCTAGGGATTCTTCTCAGGATAACATTTTTAAATACATAAAATATATAGGATTACAAAGGAAACCAATTATATTGAAATTCAGGAATCAATATTAAAAAAACACGTTCATGAACCTCAGGCTAAAAATCCCTACACTACAGAAGTATTATTATAGCCTTGTTACTTTAATTTCCCTACTATGGTTACCTAGATATCCTTTCTAACACCCTCTGTGGCCCTGACTGCTTTCCCTATTGTCCTCCTTGTTGCTACCGTTTTAATCAGAGAGATTATGAGATGGGGGGGGAGGGGAAGAGAAGGAAATTGTTTGCACTTCTACATGCATTTATTTCATGCTATCATCAGTTGTGGGCCTATAATTCACCAAGTTTCTGGCAGAAAGATGTTGCCTTAAAGGAGACCAATGGAGAATGAAAAACAACAAAGAAACCAACAACCATCCATCTTCGCTGAAAGTTGTCTCTCCAATCTGGTCACACTGTTCTGAGTCCATCTCTCCCTGCCTCGAACTACTTCCTTTTCTTACCAACGATGCTTACTTCTGGCTTCAGTCTATTCCCATGCGTGCCCCCCCAAACATCTGGAAGGCAAGAAGTATTACCTGATGGACACACCAGATATTCAACAATCAAGAAAGTTGGCAACAGGTGAGAATTGAAACTATGGTGATACATAAATCCTGAAAAGGATAAACAAAGAGCTAAGGCCTCATCTTCCCCCAAGAATCAATTCCCAGGTTTGAAACCTAAACACAGTCAGCCCAGTCAGATCCTGCTGCAAACAGCATGAATCTTACAAAACTACCACTTAGCAATAATACTAACTCACAATTTATATTGGCTTTAAGGTTTGCAAGACACTTTACATTTGATCTTCACCACAATTCTGCATTCCCATTTTACAGATTTGGAAATCAGCTCAGAGGTTAAATGATTTGCCCAGAGTCACATAGCTAAGTATCTAAGACAAAATTTGAACCCAGATCTTCCTGACTCCAAGTCTAGTATTCAATTCCATCCACCACACCAAATTGAAGTATGTACTACCTGTGTGACCTTGGGGAAGATCTGACCCTCTGTTACCTAATGTGGAAAATGAGGTGTAGTTGAACTAGATAACCTCTGAGGTGTGTTGGAGCTCTAGCAATTTCAGAGATTGCTTAATTTTTCTCGAGCCTTCAACTGGTATGCAGTAATGAGGGAGGGTACTTGGTTGTCATGTCTTGACTGTGCCAGAAACAGCTTCCAGTAATTTGAGTCAACTCTATCCAACTCGACCTCAGAGGTACTCTCAGAAGCTTAAGGGATTAAGGGAAGGGGGCAGGGGAAGGTGGGAAATTGGGATGTTTTATTAAATTCCTTGACCTCTAGGAGGAGTTAAACATGGGCCATAAAATAGATCAC